TAGATCTCAAACTAAAACAGTTTCTTTACGCTCGTTGAGCGATGTTTGGTGATTTTTAGCTATTTTTATTCACAATGTTCTTAATAACTCTTCAATTACAAATTGCGTTTACTTGTTTTCTTGCATGCAGTAAACATACATACAATCTTTATTTATACACGATAAAAGACGTCAAAGCTAAACGAGGCTGGATCCTATAGATAGAACTGTATTATGGTTCAAGTTGTGACATTTACTCAAATTATGTACCATTTGGGCTTTACTGTTTTCATGGTACGGATGTCAAAAGATATCATTATAAAATTATACTTTGTTTTGACGGGTAAAGTTCCAGATAGCCTTGTTGTGTAGCACTGCAAGTCTAGTTGACACCTGTCACCTGTACCATAAAAGCCCAACTGTGTGAGGATGAGGAGGAAAGGGGTGGGGGGAGGGGAACAGACTTAATAGGCAGGTTCACGGTCTTAGTTGCATCATGGGTAATCAGGGCAAGATTGTAAAGAAACAAAGCAGCAAAAGATATGTTTTTCTTCTTATTTCCACTCTGAGTTTCATTTTCGAGTAGAAACTTTTACTATAAATAAAGAAACCCCTTTTCTGCATTAAAACTAGCATTTTTGAGTTGATTGAGTTAGGCATTAGCCTACTTATCAGAGTAGCGGAGATGTTATGTTTGTGGCTTGAGTGGCTAAGACTTGATCAAATTATTCGGTTTTAACTGTAAAAAAGTTCCTACGCCCACAGCAATCACCCGATTGGCTCAAAAGTGCTGGTAAGCCTAGAAAAGGGGTCTCTCCATCAACAGTATATGTTTCATCTCCAAATGTAAAATCAGAATGGAAAATATAAAGAAAAACGTATGTTTTACAGCTTTACTTCTTTGTAAATCTGCCCTGATTACCCATGATGCAACTAAGAGCATGAACCTGTCTATTCAAATCATGACTCAATTAGTGCACAATGAAAAGTAAATGTGGAGGAAGGAAGCATGTAAATGCGAAAAAATAGGTGGTGGTTGTAAAGTTGTTAGTGTACTGTCTTGGTGGATGCAGGTTGGTTTGGTGAGGCGATATTAGACTGAAATAATTTATTGAAAATGTGGAGTTCAAAAGGGAGGGCTTATGGGAGAGGGGCCTACAAAACAGACAGATTTTGGCATTGTCAATCACCACGAAATGAATTTTTTGTCTCACAGTAAATTCTGTCCGTAACAAATAAAGATTTGACCACCAATTTAGACTGCAAAAGATGCAAAATGCTGCAGCCTCCATAATCTGGCTCTTCCATTTGATCTGTTTGGATAAGTTATTTTCATTTTGGTTTTCACCAAAAAAATATATTGCTCATGCATCATGACATACAGTATGGTGGCCTGGGACTGCCATATCAA